GGCGCGCGCGCGCGCGCGCTCGCTCTCGCGCGCCGGGTCGCGCGCGCGCGCGCGCTGCGCTCGCGCGCGCCGTCGCGCGCGCGTTGCGCCGCCGCCGCTCCCGCGCGCTCGCGCGGCCTCGCGCCGCCGCGCTCGCGCGCGCGCGCGCGCTAGCGGCGCGCGCGCGCGCGCGGCGTCGCGGCGCGCGCGCGCGCGCTCGCGCGCGCCGCGCGCGGCGCGCGCGCCGCGCGCGCGCGCGCGCGCGCGCGCGCGCGCTCCCGCTGGGTGTCATCGCGCGCCGCGCGGCGCCAGCGCGCGCGCCGCCGCGCGCGCGCGCACGCGCGCGCGCGAGCCGCGCGCGAGCGCGCGCGGCGCGCGCGCCGAGGTGTCGCGCGCGCGCGCGCGCGCTAGCGCGCGCGCGCGCCGCGCGCGCTCGCGCCGTGTGTAGCGCGAGCCGAGCGGCGCGCGCGAGCCCCCGTGTAGCCGCGCGCGCTCGGCGCGCGCAGCGCGCCCCGGGGTGTCCCAGCGCGCGCGCGCGCGCCGCGCGCCGCGCGCGCCCCGGACGTGTCGGCGCGCGCGCGCGCGCCGCGCGCGCGAACCGGGGTGTCGCGCGCGCGCGCGCGCGCGCGCGCGCGGCGAACGGGTTCGCGCGCGAGCGAGCGCGAGCGCGCGCGCGAGCGCCGCGCCGCGCGCGCGCGCGCGCGCGCCGCGCGAGCTCGCGAGCCCCGGATGGCGCGCTCTCGCCGAGAGCGCGCGCGGCGCGCGCGCGCGCGCGCGGCGCGCTCACGGGTGCGCGCGCGCGCGCGCAGCGCGCCGCGCGCCGCGCGCGCGCCGCGCTCGCGCGAGAAAACCGGGTGTCGCGCGCGCGCGCGCGCGCGCCCCGGGTGTAGCGCGCGACGCTCGAGAGCTGCGCGCGCGCGCGCGCGCGCGCGCCGGGCGTCGGCGCGCGGCGCCGCCGGCGGCGGCGCCGGCGCCGGCGGCGCCGCCGCTAACGGCGGCGGCGCGCGGCGGCGGGCCGGCGCCGGCGCCGGGAGGCCGGCGGCGGCGCCGGCGTCCCAGGCGGCGGCGCCGGCGTCCCGGCGGCGGCGCCGCGTCCCGGCGGAGGCGCCGGCGGCGCCCGGCGGCGGCGCCGGCGCCGCCGTCCCGGCGGCGGCGCGGCGCCCGGCGGCGGCGCCGGCGGCCCGGCGGCGGCGCGCCGGCCTCCCGGCGCGGACGCCGGCGTCCCGGCGGCGGGCCGGCGTGGTCACGGGGCGGAGCACGGCGTCCGGCGGCGGCGGCCGGCGGCCCGGCGGCGGCGCCGGCGTCCGGCGGCGGCGCCGGCGTCCCGGCGGCGGCGCCGCGGTTCCCGGCGGCGGCGCCGGCGCCCCGGCGGCGGGCGCCGGCGGCGGCCGGCGGCGGGCCGGCGACCGGCGGCGGCGCCGGCGTCCCGGGGCGGCGCCGGCGTCCCGGCGGCGGCAGCCGGCGCCCCCCCCCGGCGGAGGGCCCGCCGCGGCCCGGCGGGCGGCGCGGCGTCCCGGCGGCGGCGCCGGAGCCCCCCGGCGGCGGCGCCGGCGCCCGGCGGCGGGCCGGCGGCACCCCGGCGCGGCGCCTGCCCGGCGGACCGGCGGCGCCGGCCGGCGTCTCCCGGCGGCGGGCGCCGGCGCCCCGGCGGCGGCGCCGGCGGCCCGGCGGCGGCGCCGGCGGCCCGGCGGCGGCGCCGCGCGCCCCGGCGGCCGGGGTACGGGGCGGCGCGGCGTCCCGGCGGCGGCGCCGGCGGCCCGGCGGCGGCGCCGGCGGGCGCCGGCGTCCCGGCGGGGCGCCGGCGGCCCGGCGGCGGCCGCAGGCGTCCCCGGCGGCGGAGCCGGCGGCCCCGGCGGGCGCCGGCGGCCCCGGCGGCGGCGCCGCCGCGTCCCCGGCGGGCGGCGCCGGCGCCCCGGCGGCGGCGCCGGCGTCCCGGCGGCTGGCGCCGGGCCGGCGGCGGCGCGGCGGCGGCGCCGGCGTCCCGGCGGCGGAGCGGCGGCGGCCGGCGTCCCCGGCGGCGGCGCCGGCGTCCCGGCGGCGGCGCGGCGCCCGGCGGCGGCGCGGCGCGGCCGGCGTCCCGGCGGCGGGCCGGGGCGGGCCGTGGCGGAGCCGGCGCCCCGGCGGCGGCGACGGCGTGCCCGGCGGCGGCGCCGGCGGGCGGCGCCGGCGTCCCGGCGTCGGCGCCGGCGGCGGCGCGGAGGCCGGCGTCCGGCCCGGGGCGGCGCCCGGCGGCGGCGCCGGCGGCGGCGCCGGCGTCCCGGCGGCGGCGCCGGCGTCGTCCGGCGGCGGCGCCCGGTCGGGCGGGCGCAGGCGGCGGCGCCGGCGTCCGGCGGCGGCGCCGGCGTCCGGGCGGCGCGGCGGAGGCGCCGGCTGGCGGCGCCGGCGCCCCGGCGGCGGCGGCCGGCGGTCCCGGGGGCGGCGCCGGCGGCGGCGCCGGCGGCGGCGCCGGCTCCCGGCGGCGGCCCGCCGGCGGCCCGGCGGCGGCGCCGGCGGCGCCGGGTCCCGGCGGCGGCGCCGCCGGCGGCGGAGCCGGCGGCGGCGCCGCCGTCGTCCCGGCGGCGGCCGCAGCGGCTGGCGGCGCCGGCGGCGGCGCCGGCGCCGCGCCGCCCCGGCGGCGGCGCGGCGTGCGCCGGCGTCCCGCGGCGGCGCCGGCGCCCCGGCGGGCCGGCGGCGGCGCGGCGCGGGCGCCGGCGTCCCGGCGGCGGCGACGGCGGGGAGCCGGCGGCGGCGCCGGCGGCGCCGGCGTCCCGGCGGCGGCGCCGGCGTTCCCGGAGGCGGCGCCGGCGGCGGCGAGGAGTCCCGGCGGCGGCGCCGGCGGCGGGCCGGCGCCCGGCGGCGGCGGCCGGCGGGGCCCCCGGCGGCGGCGCCGGCGTCCAGGGGCGGGCCGCGTCCCGGCGGCGGCGCCGGCGGCGGCGCCGGCGTCCCGGCGGCGGCGCCGGCGGCGGCGCCGGCGCCGGCGTCCAGGCGGGGCGCCGGCGCCGGCGGCGGCGCGGCGGAGCCGGCGTCCCGGCGGCGCCCTCCGGCGGCGGCGCGGCGGCCGGCGGCTGGCGCGGCGGTCCCGGAGGCGGCGCCGGCGTCCCGGCGGCGGCGACGGCGTCCCGCGGCGGCGCCGGCGGCGCCGGCGTCCGGGGCCGCGCCGGCGTCCCGGCGGCGGGGCCGCGGTCCCGGCGGCGGCGCCGGCGTCCCGGCGGCGGCGCCGGCGGCGCCGGCGTCCCGGCGGCGGCGCCGGAGGCCCCGAGGCGGCGGCCGGCGGCGCGGCGTTCCCGGCGGCGGCGCCGGCGTACCCGCGGCGGCGCCGGCGCCGGCGGCGCGGCGCCCGGCGGCGGCCGCCGGCGGCGGCAGCCGGCGTCCCGGCGGCGGCGCCGGCGGCCGCCGGAGTCCCGGCGGCGGCGCCGCGGCCCCGGCGGCGGCGCCGGCGTCCCGGCGGGCGGCGCCGGGCGTCCCGGCGGCGGCGCGCCGGTCCCCACCCACGGCGGCGGCGGCCGGGCGTCCCGCGGCGGCGCCGGCGGCGCCGGGTCCCGGCGGCTGGCGCCCGGGCGGCGGGCCGGCGTCCCGGCGGCGGCGCCGGCGGTCGCCGGAGTTCCGGCGGCGGCGCAGGCGTCCGGCGGCGGCGCCGGCGGCGCCGGGCGTCCGGCGGCGGCGCGGCGGCGGCTGGCGCCGGCGTCCCGGCGGGCGGCGCCCGGCGAGCGGCGTTCCCGCGGGGCGCCGGCGCCCCGGCGGCGGCGGCCGGCGTCCCGGCGGCGGCGCCGGCGTACCGGCGGCGCGCCGGGCGTCCCGGCGGCGGCGCCGGCGCCCTGCGCGTCGCGGCGGCGCGCCGCGGCGCCGGCGCCGGCGTCCCGGCGCCGCGGCGCGGCGGCGCCGGCGTCCGGCTGCGGCGCCGGCTGGGCCCGGCGGCGGGGCCGGCGCGTCCGGCAGGAGGCGCGCGTCCCGGCGGCGGCCGCTGCGGCGCCGGCGGCGCCGGCGGTCACGGCGGCGGCGCCGGCGGGCGGCGGCCGGCGCCCGGCGGCGGCGCCGGCGGTCCCGGCGCGGAGCCGGCGTCCCGGCGGCGGCGCCGGCGGCGGCGCCGGCCGGCCACGGCGGCGGCGCCGGGCGTCGCCGGCGTCCCGGCGGCGGCGCCGGCGGCCCGGCGCCCGGCGGCGGCGCCGGCGTCCCGGCCGGCGGCGCCGGCGTCCCCGGCGGGGCGCCGGCGGCGGCGCCGGCGGCCCCGGCGGCGGCGCCGGCGGCCCCCGGCGGCGGCGCCGGCGTCCCCGGCGGCGGCGCCGGCGGCGGCGCCGGGTCCCGGCGGCGGCGCCGGCGTCCCGGCGGCGGCCGCGCCGGCGGCGGCGCCGGCGTCCCGGCGGCGGCGCCGGCGTCCCGGCGGCGGCGCCGGCGGCGGCGCCGGCGTACCGGAGGCGGCGCGCCGGCGTCCCGGCGGCGGCGCCGCCGGCGTTTCCCGGCGGCGGCGCCCCGGCGGCGGCGCCGGCGTCCCGGCGGCGGCCGCCGGCGGCGGCGCACGGCGTCCCGGCGGCGGCGCCGGCGGCGGCGCCGGCGTCCCGGCGGCAGGCGCCGGCGGCGCCGGCGTCCCGGCGGCGGCGCCGGCGTCCCGGCGGCGGCGCCAGGGTCCGGCGGCGGCGCCGGCGTCCCGGCGGCGGCGCCGGCGGCGGCGCCGGCGTCCCGGCGGCGGGCGGCGCCGGGGCGCCGGCGTCCCGGCGGGCGCCGGCGTGTCCCGGCGGCGGCGCCGGCTGTCCCGGCGGCGGCGCCGGCGGCGGCGCCGGAGGCCGGCCGGTCCCGGAGGCGGCGCTGCGGTCCCGGCGGCGGCGCCGGCGGGGCGCCGGAGCGCCCCCGGCGGCGGCGCGGCGGGGCGCGGCGCCCGGCGGCGGCGCCGGGTCCCGGCGGCGGCGCCGGCGGCGCCGGCGTCCGTCACGGCGGCGCGCCGGCGTGTCCCGGCGGCGGCGCCGGCGTCCCGGCGGCGGCGCGGCGGCGGCGCGGCGGCGCCCGGCGTCCCGGCGGCGGCGCCGGTCCGGCGGCGGCGCCGGCGTCCCGCGGCGGCGCCTGGCGGCGGCGCCGGCGCCCCCCCGGCGGCGGCGCCGCCGGCGGAGCGCAGGCGGGGGTCCCGGCGGCGGCGCCGGCGTCCCCGCGGCGGCGCCGGCGGCGGCGGCCGGCGCCCGGGCCCCGGCGGCCGGCGCCGGCGCCCCGGCGGGGCGCCGGCGTCCCGGAGGCGGGCCGGGGTCCCCGAGGCGGAGCCGGCGGTGCGGCGCACCGGCGACCCGGCGGCGGCGCCGGCGGCCACCCGGCGGCGGCGCCGGCGCCCCGGCGGCGGCGCGGCGTCCCGGGGCTGGCGGCCGGGGCGGCGCCGGCGTCCTCGTCCCGGCGGCGGCGCCGGCGCGCGCCCGGCGGCGGCGCCGGCGCCCCGGGGCGGGCCCGCGTCCCGGCGGCGGCGCCGGCGGCGGCGCGGCGTCCGGTCCCGGCGGCGGCGCCGGCGTCCGGCGGCGGCGCCGGCGGCGGCGCCGGCGGTCCCGGCGGCGGCGCGCGCCGGCGTCCGGCAGGCGGCGGGCGCCGGCGTGTCCCGGCGGCGGCGCCGGCGGCGGCGACTGCGTCCCGGCGGGTGCGCCGGCGTCAGGGGCGGCGCCGGCGTCCCGGCGGCGGGGCCGGCGTCCGGCGGCGGCGCGGCGTCACGGCGGTGCGGAGCCGCGTCCGGCGGCGGAGCCGGAGGCGGCGCCGGCTCCCGGCGGCGGCGCCGGCCGTCCCGGCGGCGGCGACGGCGGGCCCCGGCGGCGGCGGCCGGCGGCGGCGCGCGGCGTGTCCCGGCGGCTGGCGCCGGCGTCCGGCGGCGGCGCCGGCGGAGGCGCCGGCGTCCCGGGGCGGCGACGGCGGGCGGCGCCGGCGTGTCCCGGCGGCGGCTGCCGCGGCGGGCCGGCGTCCCGGCGGCGGCGCCGGCGTCCCGGCGGCGGCGCCGCGGCCGCCCCGGCGGCGGCGCCGGCGGGGCCCTGCGGCGGCGCCTGCGTCCCGGTCGGCGGGAGCGCGCCGGCGGGTCCCGGCGGCGGCGCGGCGTCCGGCGGCGGGCGCCGGCGGCGGCGACGGCGCCCAGGCCGGCGGCGCCGGCGGCGGCGCCGGCGGTCCCGGCGGCGGGCCGGCGGGCCCGGGGGCGGCGCCGCGGCGGCGGCCCGGGTCCCGGCGGCGGCGCCGGCGGGGCGCCGGCGCCCGGGGCGGAGCCGCGCGGTCACCGGGCGGCGGGCCGGCGGCCCGGCCCGGCGGCGGCGCCGGCGGCGGCGCCGGCGGGGTCCCGGCGGCGGGCCGCGTCACGGCGGAGGGCCGGCCGTCCCGGCGGGCCGCGCCGGCGGGGCGGCGACGGCGGCCCCCGGCGGCGGCGAAGGAGGCTGCGCCGGCGTTCAGGCGGCGGCGAGCGCCGGCGGGGCTGCCGGAGGTGGGTAACGCCCGGCGGCGGCGCCGGCGGTCCCGGCGGCGGCGCCGGCGTCACGGGGCGGCGCGGAGTCGTGTCCCGGCGGCGGCGCCGGCGGGGGCCGGCGCCGGCCGTCGCCCGGCGGCGGCGCCGGCGGCGGCGCCGGCGGCGCGGCGTCCAGGCGGCGGCGGCCGGCGTCCCGGCGGCGGCGCCGGCGGCGGCGCCGGCGGTCCGTCCCGGCGGCGGCGCCGGCTGTCGTCCCGGCGGCGGCGCCGGGTGTCCCGGCGGAGGAGGCCGGCGTGTACCGGCGGCGCGCCGGCGTCCCGGCGGCGGCGGCCGGCGTCCCGGCGGCGGCGCCCGGCGCGTCCGCGGGCCCCGGGGCGGCCCGGCGGCCCGGCGGCGGCGCGCGCCCCGCGGGGCGCCGGCGCCCGGCGTCGGCGCCGGTCCCGGCGGCGGCGCCGGCGTCCCCGGCGGCGGCGCCGGCGTCCGGCGGCGGGCCGGCCGTCCAGGCGGCGGCGCCGGCGTCCGGCGGGGCGCCGGCGGGTCCCGGCGGCGGCGCCGGTGTCCCGGCGGCGGCGCGCGCGGCGTCCCGGCGGCGGCGCGGCGGCGCGCCGGCGGTCCCGGCGGCGGCCGGGCCCGGCGTCCCCGGCGGCGGCGCCGGCGGCGGCGCCGGGGGTCCCGCGGCGGCGCCGCGGGGGGCCCTAGTCCTCGCTCCGTGCGGTCGGGGCGGGCGGGGCGGGCCCGTCCGCCTGGCGGGGGGGGCGGGGGCCGGGCGGCGCGGGGCGGCGCGGCGCGGGGCGGCGCCCGGCACGCGCGCGCTGCCGGCCGGGCGGCCCGGGGGCGGCGGCGGGGGGGACGACGCACCGGGGCCGCGGCGCGGCGCGGGCGGGGGGGCGGGCGCGGGCCCCGCGGGGGGGGGGGCGGGGGGCGCAGCCCGGGGGCCGGGGGCCGGGCCGGGCTGAGGCCGCGGGGAGGGGGGCGAGGGGGGAAGGCGGGAGGCCCGGCGCGGGCCGTGGGCGGGGGCGGGGCCGGGCGCCGCCGCGGCGGGGCGACGGGGGGGGGCGGGGGGGCCCCCCGGGCCCCGCCGGACGGCTGGGGCGCGGGCCTGCCGCCCCCAGGCGGGGCAGCGGGGGGCCCCGCGGGCCGGCGCCCGGGCGGGTAGCGGGGCGGCGCGGGGGCGCGGCCCGGCGCGCGGGGGCGGCGGCGGCCCCCCGGGGCGGGCGGGCGTCGGCCCCGGCGCGCGGAGGTCCGCGCGCCGCCGCGGGGGCGGTCGGCGCGGCGCGGGACGCGGGGCCGGCAGGGGGGGGTCGCGCGGCCGGGGCGCGCGCGGCGGGACGGGCGCGAAGCGCGGGGGGGCGGGGGGCGGGGCGCGGGGGGGGGGGGGGGCCGGGGCCGGGCCGCGCTGGTCCGGCGCGGGGCGGGGGCGCGGGGCGCGGAGCGCGCGGCGCCGGCCCGGCCGGGGGGGGCGGGGACCGGCGGGGGGACGGACGCGGCGCGGGGGGCGGGCGGGCGGGGGCGGCGGGCGGGGGCGGGTGGCGGGGGGGCGCGCGGCGGGGGGGGGGGGCCCCCGGGGCGCGCCGGGGGGGCGGGCAGGGGCGGGGGGGCGGGCGGGCGGCCGGGGGGCGCGGGCGGGCGGGGGGCGCCGCGGGCGCGGGCCGGGCGGGGGGGGCCCGCGCCAAGGGCGGGCCGCGGACCGGGGGGGCCGGCGCCGCGGGCCGGGCGCGGGGGCGCGGGGGCGCGGGCGGGCGGGGCGCCCGTCCCCCGGTCCCCGGGGGGCGCCGGGGGGGGGGGGCGCGCGGCCGGGCCGGGGGGGCGGGCCGGGGGCGCGGGGGCGGGCGGCCGGGGGGCGCGGCGCCGCCCCCGGGAGGCCGGGCGCGGGGGGCGCCGGTGGCGGGCGGCGGGGCCACCGGCGCCGGGGGGGGGGGGGGGCCGGTGCGGCCCCGCGCCACGCGCGGCGGGGCCGGGGGCGCGGCGGCGGGGGCGCGCCTCCGGGCGCGGGCGGCGGCGGGGGGCGGGGCGGCGCGGCGGGGGGGTGGCGCCCGCCGGCGGGGGCGAGGCCGGCGGGCGGGCGACGCGGCGGCCGGGGGCTGCCGCGCGGGGCGGGGCGGCGCGCGCGCGCGCGCGGCGCCCCCGGCCGCCTGCGCGCGGGCTGCGCGCCAGCGCGGGAACGAGACGGCGCCGGCGGCGGGCGAGCGGCGGGGGGCGGCCGGCCGCCCGCGGGGCGGGCACGGGCGCGGGGCCCCTCGGGCGGGAGCCGCCGGGGGCGGGCGGGGGCTCGCGGGTGGGGCCGGCACGGGGGGCGCGGGGGGGGGGGCGCGCCGGGGGCGGGGCGGCGCGGGGGGGCGTCGGCGGCCGCGCGCAGCCGCCCCCCGGAGGCGGCGCGCGCGGGGGGCGCCGGCGGGGCGGGGAGGCGGGGGGGACGGGGCGCGCGGGCCGCGCGCGGGGGCGGGGCGGCGGCGGCGGCCGGGCGGCGCGCCGGCGGGCGCGGGGAGCGGCGCGCGGGGCGCGCGCGGGGGGCGGGGGGGCGGCGGGGGGCTCGCGGGGCGGGGGGCCGGCAGCGAGGTAAGGAGCCCGGGGCGGACGGCGCCGCGGAGGCGCCGGCAGTCGCGAGGGCGGGAGGGCGGGCGGCGGGCGGCGGGGGCCGGCGGCGGCGCGCGGGGGGGGGGGGGGGCGGTGCCGCCCGGCCCGGGCGCGGGGCGGGCGGCGGGCGGGCCGCGCGGCGCGCGGCGGCGGGCCGGGGGGCGCCCCGCCGGCGGCCGGCGCGGGGGGCCGGGCGGGCGGGGCGCGGGCCGGGCTCGCGCCGGGCGGAGCGGCGGGGCGCGCGCCCCCGCGCCGGGGGCGCCGCCGGGCGGGGCGGGGGGCAGCGCGGGGGGGGCGCGGGCGGCCGGTGCGGCGCCGCGCGGGCAGCCCGCCGGGCGCGGGGGGTGGCGCCTCGGCGCGGGCGCGCCGCCGCAGGCGGGGACGGCCGGGGCACGCCGGGGGCGCTGTGGGGCGGGCGCGCCCGGGGCGGCGGCGGCGGCGGGCCGCCGGCGCGGGGGGCGCCCGGCCGGCCGGCGCGGGGCGAGGGCCCGGGCGCGGGCGGGGCGAGGCCGGGGGGGGAGGGGGGGGGCGGCGAGCGGCCGCTGCGCGGGGCGGGCGCGCGTGGGCGGGAGCCGGAGGGGGCGGAGCGGCGGCGCGGCGGGGGCGCGCCGGCGCCGCGCCGGGGCGCGCCGGGTCGCGGGGGGCGCCCGGCGCACCGACGGGGCGCGCCGGGGCGCCGGGGCGGCCGGGGGCCGCGGGGCGGCGGCGGGGGGGCCGGCGTCGGGCGCGCGCGGTCGCCGGGCGGCCGGCGCCGGACGCGGGCGCCGCC